TAAAAAAAAATTCATTGTTAAAATTCCACTTAAAATTACCAATGAAGTAATATGTGCCATTTGTATATTTTGTATCAATGAGATTCTTTCACCCATTGGTAATTTTAAGTGAAAAATTAACAATTAACTGTAATCTTTTCCTTTTTGGTCTCAGTGGCATCTCGTTAGTGTTGTATGTGTTTCTTAATAATTTTGGAAATTGTAGATGAGAATATTGGGTTTGTTTCCCTTTTGACATTTTGTAAGTTTTGTTTTTGTTTTTTCTTTTGTGCCCAGTCTTTTTCCTTTAGACCGTGGTTTTAATAAATTCTGCCGGTTCAAAAAAAAAAAAATAGTAGCTGATATATTAATTAATTAATTATATCTGCATTATACAACACATTTCGTGTAAAGGGTCTCATGAATTTAAATCTCACAATCATTGCAACAAAACATAACTTTCGGAGCTAAAAGGCAATAATGAAAATACACATATACAACATGGTATCATCCTCAATTAACTTCATATAATTCGAGTCTTGTTTGTTTATGACTTATTTGTCTTTCCTTCAACATCCTAATTCATAACACACAATAACATGAGGCAAAATAAGGGGTGCATGCATGAGAGAGAGGATGAAATTTTGTAACAAAAGAGAGGCTTTAAAGGCGAAAAGACCAAAGTACCCCTCATGTGTAAGGCACATGAAGGGGTTTAACGACATCAATATAACAGATGCAAAGGTGAGGGACCAACATTGTTACAGACGTTTGAAACAGGGACCAAACTTGCAAAAATAGTAATAGTTTGACCAAAGGTACGAAAGCCAAAAGTCAAACGTGTAACTCTTAATAATAAATATTAATAGTTTTTGAAACAAATATGTATATTAAAAATATAATGGCCGAAAATTTCTAAACGAATAATCCATACAAAACCAAATAATATACAGTATAACTTTATGAAAGAAAAAAAGTATTATAATCATAGCCATTAACACCGACCATTTAAGACCTATATGGTTATTTAAACTTTCAATAATATTTCAAACGCCGTTTTTATCATTTATATTTTTATATTTTAAGCTGAAATAGTCATAACTATTAATATAAATTTATCATGAACTTAAAAAAAAAAAAATGATGTGTTCGAAAATTCAGGGTGTTTGGATAAATTAATTTATAGCTTATTGCGGTGAAAATAAACAGTTTTTGCAAAAATATTTGTGGTAGGAATAGACAATAAGTAAATGAGAAGATGCTTATTAAAATTCAGTTTATTGAACATATTTCGTTATGATAATTAATTATTTCACTTTCAATATAGATAATAAATAATAGTTAAACAATATATCTTATAACATATTTCCTTTTGATAATTTATTGTTTGACTTTCTATATCAGATAATTAATTACTTTCCAAATATATCTATTATATTAAATGAAGCTTGTATCGTGTAGATGTTAATACAAAAATAAAAAAAACTCAAATAATATTTAAGCTTGGTTTTCTTTTGGTCATTACCAATGAAAACCTTTGGGCTTCTAAGGACACATTATTAAGGAAAATTCTATATATGTCCGAAATTGCTTTGTGTATCCTCATTTATGAGTTTAATAATGTTTGTGTACAATTATGATGTAAGGATTTATGTGGGCGAGGGGTTATGTATAGTAAAAAAGATATATAAGTTGTTAAAAAAACAATGTTTGTGTACCTTTATGATTTAAGGATTTATGTATAGTAACACTATAAATTGTTAAAGAATAGTGTTATCCTTGATGAAAAATCAAATGATTACAACACCAAAATCAAATGATTACAACACCACTAAAAAAGATATATAAGTAAATATAAAAACAAGTGAATATTTAGCTAAATTTAATTTCAAACCAATATTTAGCTTTAAAAACAATTCAAGATAGTTATATCTAATTTCACCGTTTCGAGACTCATCCCAATTAACTTCCTAACGCATACAATCTTCGAAGTTATGTTATTTTAGATTTTTTTTGGGAAACAACCATAAATTATATTAGAACCCCAGCCGAGCAAGAAGCTAAGTAGAGGCAAAATAGGAAAAAACAAACGTAAAAAGAGTTTATTACAACACAGAAAAAGGAAAGAAACTTCACTCATCCCAATTATATCCAACTCCAGAACCTCTATGCTTAATGCAAAGAAACATCATTGACTTGATGTATTCCACTCCACTGTTTGGTGTTATGAATTTGCCTTGAAATATCATGTTCCTGAATTTCCAAATCCCCCATAGTAGACCATAACATATAACAATGAATCTTCTTCTTTTCTTTGGACACTTTCCCCAATTGGCAGCAAATTGAACTAAGTCAGTAACTCCTGTAATTAAGGGGGTAGGGATATGTCGCACCATTTAAAGATCTTCTCTCGTATATAGGCTGCATAGATGGTCAGCTTGTTCATCATCACTATTACAGAAACCACACGTGGAGGAAGACAATGTTATACCACGACACATTAACATCGTGGTTGTAGGGATTCGACCCATGACTGCCCTCCAAATGAACGTTAGAACCTTGATTGGGACTTGTTTGCACCGAATGACCAAGGAGTTCGAACCCGGAAGTGTGAGTTGGTCCAATTTGTGATGAAGCAGTTCCACGGTGTACTTACGATCCACTGCTAAATTACAACTCCAATGATCCTCCCCAGGTCTTACTGGGCAGGATATGATGTCACTGTTTAGCAAGCTAAGTTCATGTGCTAACCCTAATGAAAGAGGACACGAGCTCCATTGCTAACCATTTGTGTTGTTTGTAATCTTTTGGGCCACGGTACAGTTCTTTTTGGGTTCAATTGCATACAAATCTGGAAATTTTGAACTAAAATTTACAGGCCCGCTCCAAGTGTCGTTCCAGAATGATGTTTTTTCACCTGATCTCATCACATGTTTGAAAATTTCATTGGGCTGAATGTTGTACTTTTGGAGCTCATTTTTTACATTAACAATGTTATTCCATACACATGTAATGTTTTATTTGATAGGTAAAAACTAGGCTTGCCTTCCAGGTTGTGTATACTAGTCACAACACGACTCCACATGGCCGATGGGTTCTTTTTAAAATTCCACAACCATTTAACAATTAAGCCAATGTTAAGAGTTCGAATCGAACCAACGCCAAGTCCTCCGTCTTCTTTAGAGGCAATCACCTTGTCCCAAGAAACCCAATGAATTTTTCTGTTTTCCTCATTACCACCCCATAGAAATTTCCTTCATAATTTTTTGAGCTTTTCAACAACACCAATAGGAGCCGTGAAGATGGACAGATAGTATGTAGGCAAGCTACCTAGCACAAATTTTACGAGGGTTAAATGACCGCCAAAAGACAATGATTTAGCTTTCCACGTTCATAGTTTGGTTTGGAATTTTGTTATCATTGGGTCCTAGTTCTTTATTTGATTCATGTTGGCACCCACCGGCACCCCTAGATATGTAAAAGGAAGACTTCCAACATCGCATCCAAGAATGTTTGCCCAGTTTATCGATTCCTACAATGTGGCACCAATTCCGAATACCTTGGACTTATGGAAATTCACCCTTAAACCAGAAGAGACGTGGAAGCAATTAAGAATGTGAGCGAGATTTTTAAGGTTTGATCTTGTCCATTCTCCAAGGAATAATGTGTCGTTTGCATAGAAGAGACGAGAGATTGATGGTCCACCGTTAGGAATACTGACGCCTTTGAATATACCTTTTTCTTCCACTGATTTGAGTGCAACATTTAAACCCTCCATTGCTATAATGAAGAGGAAAGGAGATAGTGGGTCTCCTTGTCAGACCCCTCTCGTGATGTTAAATTCTTTGGTAGGGACTCCATTAACGATTACATATGCACGAGATGAGGAAAGGAATCCACTTATCCAACTCTGCCATTTATTTCCAAAACCCGCCTGAGCAAGCAAAGAATCCAGATGCACGATTCTACTACATTTTCTATCTTGGATATGTCATCTTTCAGATTGTCCAGCATCACTTTTTCTTTCAAAAGTTCATTCTTTCTCCATTTTTTTATTCTATTCTTTAAATGAATAAGTTTGGTAGCCAAGTAAGCATCCGGGCTACCGTATCCATTAAAGGAACTCCATGATTCTGTAACAACTAGATCCAAATCGTCTTTTAGTAGCCTTGAGTTGTAAAATTTGAATGGAGGAGGACCAAATTCGGTGAATGAAGATATGATTGTAATAGTACAATGGTCAGAGAGTTCCCTTGAGTGACCTATGACCATGGAGGAAAGAAAATTAGAAAGGAAGGAGGAGCAAACTAGAAATCTATCTAGTTTACTGAGTTTGGCTCCAACCCTGGTCATGAATGTATATTTCTCACCTCCCATGTTAAAATCATGTAGACCAGCATTATGAATGAACCTACTGAACAGTCTAACACTTGACGGGGAAAAGGTGGAATTAAATCTCTCCTCCTTACGTCTAACGACATTAAAATCACCAAAATAAACCCATCTACCAACATTTGCTTGTTGGATCAGAAGAAGTTCTCTCCATAGGGATTTTTTTCTGCTAGTGATTGGGGTCCATATATATTAGCAAAGATGGTGTTACATGGTAATCCTTTCCATTTTCCAATCACGATTAGATAGGATTTTGATTTGAAAACCATAGTTTTCTTAAAAAAAAAATGTTGTGTTCCATATAGATATTAGACCCCCAGACCTGCCATTTGAGTCTACCCCATCAAAATCCAAGTCCAAGGAATCCCAGCAACCATTACGTGAGAAGTCAGATAGTTGCGTCTCCTGTAGCCCTATGAAGTTGGTTTTATGCTTTGCTTGAAGTCGTCTGATCCATTGAACCTTAACATCCTCCCCAATGCCCCGTACATTAAGAGAAAGATAATTCATTGGAAACCAATTCTATCACCATTTTCACCAATCACATGTGCAAGAATCCCATCATTCTTGTCAATTTGAAAGCCGACCTCAATACCAATTTCAACTGTCTGTGATAACTCATTATCCGATTAAGAGGGGGAGCCGTCGACACCACTAGAGGAAGTAGCGCTCGTCGAATTACTTGTAGAATGAGGAACATCATTCAGGTTAATCGGTTGTGTTTGACTACTGGCCCCCATTTGCGCAGCAGGAGAGAACAATGAATGATCTGTGAATGTCGGGGATGAGCATGAGCAAGATTTATTTCTTTTCCTTCTTTTGCTCTTTGGGCCTCCACCATTGGATCCAGAGTTTTGAGTTGAGTGTTTTGTGTGGGTTGGAGTAAAATCACGTGGGGATTTATTGGATAATGGGAATGGCCCAAAACAGCCTGTAGGGACCAATAATGTCGAGGAGCCAAATTCAAAGAAATGGGGTTTTGAGGGAGTCTGGTCCAAGGTAAAGGATTGATTAGGTGGAGGCGCAAAGGAGAATGTGTTTTGTTCCAGATTTATCACCTTTACACGTGTTGTGTTCTCCAATGTTTGGGGGATGTAAAACGTTGGTGACATATGGGGAACATTCGATGTAGTATTTAATGCAACACCCACTTCGACCGTTGGGATCAAGATTGGAACTGGAGAGGTGGTTGGCGGTACAATCATCGTGAAACTGTTGTCAACTCCGGTAGCTTTGTCCGACGAGTCGGTTCCATCATTTCTGTCGCTGATTGTGGATCTTACAGCCTCCAGTCCTATCTGTTGGTGATTGTCATCTGTACGAATCTCTCCATCCTCCAACTCGTTATTTACCTCTTGAATCCAGGTATCCAGGATACCGTCATCATCCTCTTCTTCATCATCTACATTTTCCTCGTCTGAGTATTCTTTCACATTGTCAAACGGAAGACGTTTAAATGGCGACCAGTCATCGGTGTATTCAACTACACCGATCGTTAATGTTTTCCCATCTGTAGTGACCTTGACTTCATCGTTGATCCAGTTAGTTTTTTATCGCAATACTCCCACCTTACCCATAGAGTAATCACGACGGTTGTGTATTCCATCAAACGGGTAAATGACTCTTCCAAACAGACTTGCTATTGTCGAGAAGTTGTCTTCATCCCAAAGTCTTAACGAAAGTCCCAATATTTTTAGCCAAGTTGTACGTTCGTATTTGATTTCCTGTTGATCCCCTCTGTACAACCTTGTGAACCAGTCCCTCCATCTAGCTTTGTCATTCAGAAATTCATCGGCTTCCACAGAGTGATCAAAACATAGTGCCATTTGTATACCCCCCAAATACTTGGTGCTTACGTACCCTATCGACAATGTTGGGAGGTTGCCAATGTGGTCTAGACTGTGAGCATCACCAAATAGGACAGTTTTTTGAATCCATTCTCCCATGGAGGTTTTTGAGTTGAGGGGTATTGGCGGTAAGGGGTTGTCTTTGATTCCTGCCGCCACTTGGGCGAATGTTCTGTACTCGCTGTTATGTTGAGGGGGAGGGTGGGGAGGATGTGGGGGAGCCTCATGAGTAAAAAAGTTGGAACGACTTGTCCTTTGTATTTGGTTTTGTATGGGTTTTCTTTTATATTTCTCTAGATTCACCAATAGTACTATGTCTCTCAACTTTATGCCTTGTATTTCATTCTCCAAACATCTTGTCATCCTTGATTCCTTTGAATCTGACAAACACAAAGTTCCTCTGGTGTGAGTCTTTCTTCCTTCCCATGTAGACATCGACAACGTTACCAAATCTTGTGAACGACCTTCTTAGCTCATCCTTCCTTGTATCACCAGGAAACCCAGAGACATATATGTTTGTGATTATGTTGCTCTGATGGTAGTTCCGAACTTGTTTTCTTCGTCGGACCTCCGACCATCCACCACCATTTCGTTCTTCCATACGAAACTTTTAAGAGTGGTTTTTTTTTTTATTTCAGATACTATATTATTGGTAATATTATTGTAATTATGTATAATGGAAAAACATAGATAAGAAATTGTTGAGCTGACTATTAATGTAAATTTATCATGAACTTAAAAAAATACGACATGTTTGAATAATTAAAATTCGTCAAAAATTCAATATAATAATTAAAAAACATTTCTCGAATTTCAAATATTGTAAAGAATATATAAACAATATCTTTTTTATTTTTGGAAAACGGCAAATAAATATATAGATTAAAGTAAACCCAACATCAAGTTAGGCATTTTTGGATTCAATCATGGAGCAAATGAGATTTGGGTCGAAATGGAAATTATGGATGAATGGTTGTCTTGAATCCGGTAGATCTTCGGTGATCATTAATGGTACAAAGGATTTGTCTATGTCGAAAGGTGTCAGACAGGGAGATCCTCTCTCCCCATTTATTTTAATCATTGCGATGGAAGGATTAAATCAGGTGATGAAGACGGTCGTGGAAAAAGGAATTTTTGATGGCATCAAATTTCAACAATCTAATCTCTGTTTGTCTCATTTGTTCTACGCATATGATGCACTGCTTATTGGCGAATAGTCGAGGCGTAATATTGCAAACTTAGCCCAGATATTAAGGTGTTTCTATATATCGTCGGGGGTTAAATGTGAACTTCAGGAAGTCAAAGGTATATGGGGTGGGGGCCTTCCACACTGAAGTAATAAATTGGGAAGCCCCTCTCGGATGTGAACCTTCATCCATCCCATTCACTTATCTTGGAATCCCGGTTGGAGAGAATATGAATCGTAGAAAAACATGAGAACCAATTATCGACAAATTCCAAGCAAAGATGTCGACCTGGAAAGCGAGGTCATTGAGCTTTGGGGGTAGATTAACCCTTGCAAAGGTTGTACTGGGGAATCTGCCTACTTTCTTTATGTCCATTTTTGTAGTACCAACAGGAGTAATTGACACTTTAGAAAGAATTAGAAGAAAGTTTATATGGAGTAAAGAGTATGATAAAAAAAAATGCATTTGTTAGGTGGCGTGGGAAATGTTAATCTCTCCAAGGAGTGTTGGGGGTATCGGACTTGGCTCAATTAAATTTCTTAACATCTCGCTATTAGCTAAGTGGATGCAGCGACTGAAGACTGATAGCTCAGCCTTGTGGGCGAATGTAATTCGGTGTATCCATAAACTAGATGGTAAACATTGGTTTGTCCTTGCTAACGGATCCAATAATGGTGTTTGGAAAAATATAGTTAAAACCATGTCGTTTTTGAAAAAAATAAACATTGAACCTAAAGAAATAATATCGTAGAACCCGATCGATGGTCGATGGGAATCGGAATTTACATCAGAATGTTGATTTAGGGTATGTCTGTTACGAGAGTGAATTGAATATAAACAATATCAGATAATTACTTTCCAGAGCTATCCATTATATTAAATGAAGCTTTTATTTTGGTCATTTTACTTTGGAAATCACCAATGAAAACCTTTGAATTTCTAAATACACATTATTAAAAGACAACGTTATCCCTGATGAAAAATCAAATGATTATAACACCTATGAAAAAGATATATAAGTAAATATAAAAACAAGTGAATATTTAGCTAAATCCAATTTCAAACCAATATTTAGCTTTAAAAACAAGTCAATATAGTTAAATCTAATTTCAACCTTTCGAGACACATCCCAATCAAATTCATAACGCATACAATCTTCTAAATTATGTTATTTCAGATAGTATATTATTGGTAATAATATAATTATTGTAATCATGTATAATACAGGTTATAATGAAAAAAACATATATAAAGAAGTGTTAAGGGTTAACAAAACGTGACCCTATGTCCCTATCATATACTTTGATTACTTTATCCATGACGCTTGTAGAGAGCATGTGTTGAAGCCTAATAGGCTTTTTTAATAACTTTGGGATGAGTTTATTAGTGTAGTTTACGGCCCAACACAGCAGCCCGGTATCAGACATACTTATAGTTGTAGGTGCAAATCCAAACTTTATTAGGCTAGTAGAAAAGGGTTGAAATCCAATTGAAATTTGATCATTTCATATTCATTTGAGTAAAATACTGAAATCGTCTTTGTGGTTTGATTAGAATTGCACCTTTGATCCGTAACTTTTATTTTGCACTCATATCGTCTCTAAGGTTTGATTTGGTTGCGTTTCTCGTTCTTATGGTTTGATCAAAATTGCACATTTGGTTTCTAACTTTATGTATGCAAGGGACGAAAAACGCAACAAAATCAAATCATAGAGACGATCGAGTGCAAAAGAAAAGTTAGGGACCAAACATGCAATTTTGACCAAACCATAGAGACAATTTCAGTAATTTACTCTATTCATTTTGATTAACTACCGCTCTATATAGTTGTTGATACAATGATTTGGAGGCTTCACAAAAAAAGTTTTCACCCCATAAATGATTTTAAGGCTATAAGGAGTGGTGTCGATAATCCCGAGCACCACCGTAGCTTCTTCTTTGCCCACGTCAACATCCAACACTTGTGGAGGAGAGATATTTGGTAGCCTACTGTTAAAGAATACATTTTTTCTTCACTTGTCGAGCTTGAGGGGCGATATGTCCTTGGCATGCCGAGTGACTTGTCGTTCCACTCCACACAGTCTAAGTGGTGGTTTATTTTGTACTTCGGCTAACAAAATACTTAGATGACAGTCTATTTGGCAATTTGGTTAACATAATTTAGCCAAGGTGGTGTGGTGATGATATTATGTCCACGTGGTTTTTTCTATTAGAATAAAAATATATTTTAAAATTTTAATATTTTTATTATACATTTAGTAACTATTAAAGAACCATTCATGATTCATCATCTTTTTCAGAACACAAGGTAGGGTTTCGGGTGAAAATGGTTATGATAGAAAAAGATGACGGACCAATACCTACCACCAACAAATATGTGGCTACCACAACTACCTTCTTCTACCACCTGTCTCACTTCTTCGGTTACAAATCGGCAGAGACACCACCACTCTCGCACGTCTCTAATTATGACTGCCATCTCTCGTGTCTTTATTCCAACAATAACTAAAAAATCTACTAGTCTCTCCTCTTTATTGAGATCGAAAACAAAATCCACTTTGAAGAAAAATGTTATGGCTATACGGAGGAGGCGATGATTAGTTGCTTCAAATCTTGAAGACAAAGGTTTTGGTTCAAGATTTGGTTCCAGAGTTAAACATTGATTGTTATGCTTCTAGCTTCAGTTGCTTCATATCTTGTTTTGATTAGTTGATTCAAGCTCTATACTTTCTATAGTTATAGCGTTTTCTTTTTTGTTTTTAAGAAATTAATACTATTATTTGATTGGCGATGTATTATTCACATGTTTTTTTGACTTTATTCCAATGATATGTTTTTCTAAGATACGATTTACCAATATATGTTGATCTTGTTTTTCAGGCTTCAAATTTAGGAAATGTTACAACATAAGGATGTTGAGTTACATTGTATCTTTTGAAATGCAACTTTTTATACGGCCTTTTAAATTGATTTCTTAATATGAAATTAAAGATATCGATTTTCATATACATTTTAGATCTGAGTTTCTAAATACTGAAGTAACTATATTTTTGTTTGAGGTTTGATTTAGTCTAATCTTTTTTTTTTTATGACCAAGAACATTTCTAATGGCATATTTGACAACAAACATTTGGGAATTTGTAACTTTTAGTTTTAACAAAAAGTTCGATTTAAACAAAAATCTTCATTTGAGATGTATGAACGTTTAGCTTTTAATTTAAACAAAAACTTTAAATCTAAAAACCACTTCACGTAGTGTTTAAAAAAATAAACTATTAAACCTTTTTAATCAATTTTCAAACTTGTCATTTAAAAAATATTTTTATATATTTATCATTTTTAAACAGTCTAATGAAGTTTTACGTATTTCAAAAGTTTCTAACTATTTTTTTCCAAATACTTATATAACAAATGAAAATTATAGCTTTCATCTAGTTTTATCAAAACGCTCTAACCCGTTCATGTTCATCATAGTATGAGTGGTACCATTAGTTCCATGATGTGATTTTGTGTGAGGTCTTATTTAGATTTTAATTTACATTTTGGACTTTGGATCTTCCATGGCGGTTAGGGGTGGACAACAATAGCAATAAGTGAACAATGGTGGTGGTGGACGTTGGTGGTTGGTAAACTGGTAATGGAAGATGGCTGAGGTGAAGATGACCAATTGAGCATGATGACTGACGAGGCCCAAACTCGGTTGAAGATGATATAAAATTATAAATATGTTTTTAATAGACATGCTCATATGCCTCCAACCCGATTTTGGGCTAACTTGGGCAACTGGATAAATATCTCTTGTTTAATACTGGACTGGAAAATGGTGGGCTTTTTAAAAATTCAAAATTTGTAGATATGTCAACTGTGTGACCTTTATATGATGCCCAAAAAAACCGGTTCACAAACCGAACCGGTTAGTGAACCGGAAACCGGTTTTCCTCCGAACCGATTCATGCATGAACCGAACCCCCGAAGAACCGAACCTACGGACCGAACCAATTCGCCCTTTTTAATGTGTGATCCGGTTTCGAACCGGTTTGTTAAGAACCGGTTTTTTGAACCGGTTTGAACCGGTTTTTTGAACCTATTTGTAAACCGATTTTGAACCGGTTTTTTACACTTACTAGCTCAAAAGAGCTTTATACTCTAAACAAATAAAAAAACCCATTCCTATTTTACACTTACTAGCTCAAAAAAAAACCGGTTTTCGTTGAACCGGTTTTGAACAAACCGAACCGGTTTAAATATGTTCGAATAATTTTTGGGGTGAACCGGATTGGAACCGAACCGGTTTTGGTGTGAACCGGTTTTGACTTGTTGGACTTGAACCGAACCGGTTTTCTGAACCGGTCCGGTTCATAAAAAAAACCGGTTCATATAATATGACTATCTTGGAAAACATTTGATGAAACAA